AAATAGTATTCTTCACAAGTATTTTTTAATGGTGTGACGATCGACGGATTAGAATTTAATATATAATTTCCCAACATCAACTTTGTCCGCGTGGCGATGGAATAAAAATACAGAGTGTCACCACCCCCTTTCATCCCGTGGATGTCGTAAGAGCCGACTAAGGGAGCAAACTACGCAGGAGAACAATACTGCACAGAGAAGGAAACCTTGAAACAAACTCGTCTGGCTGGCGTGGTATCGTATCTTCACGATAACGCTCCTTCTCATCGAACGGCAGTTGAGCTGAAGGCAGTGTGCGGTGCTGGCTTCGAGGGCTTTGACCACCTACCATATTATTTTTGAATTAGCCCCTAGTGATTTTCACTTATTCCTAAAGTTATAGGAGCATGTGTGTGAAACTCATGGACGTATAAAAAACTATGTCACCCATAGTCGGTCAGCTCGACGTACGTACAGGCCGGACACACATAAAAATCGAGACAGCGAGACGCATTACGGGGCGAAAAAATATTAATATGCAATATGTTTTGCGTGGTGAAATGCTGTAAAAACCATAGTGACCGAAAGAAAAATAATCCAGGAATTACGTTTCAGATTTTATACATTAAAATCAATCTGCCTTCGCTAGAACAAAAACCATCCATTATAATCAAAGTGCTGCCAATTTTCACGTGTGCAATTACCCGAAATATAGATTCTTTTTAGTTTATTATTGTAATAAATTTGTCTAGGTTATTTAATAGTTAATACTGAGTATTTTATTTCATATTCTTTTTACTAGACTTTTTAAGAAAAATGGAGTATGGAGAAATTATTGGATTCAAATAATTAGAAATTGTAATGGTGAAAATAAAGGACAACACAAATATATTATCACAAAAATTCTAGAAAAAATTGTTGGCAATGAAAGCGTTTTTTTAAGCTTTGAATTCCAACATACTTTACTGGAATGGAACACAAAATAAGTCTTTTATATACGAGTATATTATATATAGCGGCAAAATATTTAACGATTAGGTTTCACCATAACTCGAAATTAGAGGATATTTCAAGAACCTCTCAAAGTAAAAGACATTATTATAAAAAAATATCAGCATGGGATATTAAACAGTAATCAGTAAAATAATCGATTGTGCCAATACGGTGCCTCAGTTTTGCCTTTTTTGATAAGTCCATGGTGAAACTAAATTGGAGGATGATGACGTATTTATAGCTGCTGTAGATGAGTTTTTCGAGTGTCAAGAAATTGTTTTTTTTTTTTTGAGAAAGAAAGAGCCGACTAAGGTAGCAAACTACGCAGGACAGCAGCACTGCAAAAGGAAAACTTGACACAAAACTTATACCAACCCGTCTGGCCAGCGTGATACAGTAGGCCGAACCTCCTTTCTAAGCAAAGGCCTATGTCCAGCAGTGGACTATTGATGATGAGGATGATGATGTAACAGTTTTCTTATAGTAATTTCAAGAACTTTTGATTCACATCGTATAAAGTACTTGTACATACACAAAATGCGATGTTTTTTGCTAAAACAACCAGACCATGCATAATATTTACACGTTATGTATATTTTCGTAATACCCCTTATTTTAGATTACCATATAAAAGCGACTTATGAAAGCTTACTTTCAACCTTGAATTAAAATGTTAATTGAGATTAGCAAGCTGTTTTGAACCTTGCGAATGACGAGGGCTTATATGAAATATATAAATATAAGAGATTTCCACGTATATAGTCACTCATCGCGATATCTCTGGAACCATTAGAGCTAAAGACTTGAAATTTGGTAGGAATATTCTTTTCACCGAGTAGAGGTCAGCTAAGAACGGATTTTAAGAAATTAAAAATTAATAATAATAATTAAATAATGTAAAATAGCAAAACAACGTGTGCAGGGTCAGCTAGTATGAAATAAACAATTATTTTGTGAATGCTTAAAAGTTTATCTAACAGCGACAGTTGGTAAGAGTTTGCCATGTCGCCTCTCTAGTCAATATTCCATAATAGATCTTGCCGTTACTATTGTGACGTGAGTCTTTCTACTGAGCCATTAGAATCTGGGCCCTGTTTTATGAAGCTGACAATCCGACAAGTCCGACATATGTCAAAAAGTGACAATACGACAATTTTTCTGTTTTATCACACTTACAAGCGACAAAATTGTCATGGTGGAAAATTGACAAATATGATTGTCGCGACAATCTGACATTTTTCTGTTTTATGAAACCTTTTGAGCGACAGGGGACAGGTGACAATTTGTCGTGAAAAACTTGTCAAATCTGCTTTATAAAACAGAAAATTGTCATGACATATTGACATATTTGTAGAATTGTCCGACAATTCTGACAGGAACGTTACCCTCTGTCGCTAAATCATATTCTGAATTTTGAAGGTGTAAGAAAGTGTTTATAAAATCGAACCCGAGACCTCAGCACAGTAGTCGCATACGCTATCACTGCGCTACCGAGGCACTCATAGAATATTTCATACATACCTACACAATATAATACATATCTAATTAATAACTCCTTTATTTAAAGTTGGGTAACGGTCTAAACAAATTACGAATTGATGACGTATAAACTAGTTAAAATATACTAAACCTTACCATGGTACTTTTGCGCCAATTTTGCCATGTAGTGTCGCGAAGGTATTTCCAGTCTTTGTTGAAAATACCTAATGCTGTTAATTGTTCGACTATTTCCTTCCATTTTTTTATTTTTGTATCGTGGGTCAATTCGTCACTAAACTTCCCAAAGAGTATATTCCTATTTTCGAAAATAAGGCCCAAAATGGTAATTTTTTTGTGCATTTCCATTTTACACGAAATTTTAAAACAAACAATCGAAGCTACACTAGAGATTGATTCATTCTTTTACTCTGTTAATATGTTTTCTATTTTACCCTCATTTAGCTACAGAAAACATATTTATTTGCAAACATGTCAAAAGTCGACATAATTGTCACAACAATCCGACAATTGTCAGCAACCATTGTCAGTAATAATTTGACTGTGGTTTTTTGACATATGTCGTGCTTTAGTAAACGATTTTTAAATAACAAATATATCAAGAATATGCCTGTCAAATTTATATATTTGTCACTTTTTTTAAACACCCTAATCGGGACAATTCGACAATTTTGTCACTTTTTGACATATATGTCGAAATGTCAGGGCCCTGGTGTTATTAACTAAGTATCTTTTTTTGAACTTTTTCTATAATATATATTTTTTAAACAGCTGAAGAATATATCCTGTGTCGCGGGGGACTTTACATACATAAATGAAACGGACACAAAGAACACCCAGACTTAGAATGACAACAAAGTGTCGTCCCATGAGGGGATCGAACCCACAATACTCAACGTAATCGGGAGCGGCGTGCCGACCGCTTAAGTCACTACGCCATCCATGCAGTGCATCTTTCGTTCCTTAACTGGAGAGAATTGTAAAAATGTTAGTATAATGGTGATTAGAGAGGTAACTGCTTGTCACGTAAGCGTCATCTCGCTTACGTAACAATCAGTCATCTCTCTATCCCTTTCCATCGCCATAACCCGCCCTTGTCTCACTAACTTCAGAAATGACTTGACATACAATAAGCAAATTAGGTAGCCTGAATTTTAATTACCATAGAATCACAGCAGTGTCCAAAGTGTTTAATTATGTACCTATTATGTACCTAGGTTATTTTGCGTGAGTAAAGTTCACGCAAAATAAAATGAAAAAAATAATATTTATCTTTATTTTTATTTTCAAATATACATTTTTTATTTACATTTTTACTTATTTACTTTTAATGTTATTGTACTCTCTACAGTTCCATAGTCTAAGTGGGGTTAAAAAAACATAGTCTGCGTGTATTTTTAACCGACTTCAAAAAGGAGGAGGTTATCAATTCGGATGTTTTTTTTAAAATAATAATTATTACTCTTTATTTCAGACCATTTTGTTAGTAACAATATTCTTAGAGACTAGTATTAGTACAGTATATAAAGAAAACAAAACAAAACAAAGAAAAATAGACAAATACACACAACAATCACCACAAACAAAAAAATTTAGAAGGATGAAATAATAGTGTTATTTTCTTTCATTTTCGAATAATATAATATATTTATGACTACTAAAATAATTATAATTAATCGATCAAATAATTAAAATAATAACTGATTTGAATAAATAATGGACAATGTTTTATTTTTTTTGTACACTATTAAATCAACCATTACTGCTAGGTTTTTAGTGTTTTTTGTTGGTATTGTTTGAAGGTGGTTCAACTTTATTTTTAGAAGGGATTTATTTATTTCTCAATATAAATTATATAAAATATAATACTATTTTTTCTAAATATTTCGTTAAAATAATTTACTTATCTGTAAGCAAAGAAAATATCTGGTCAGGTGAACATATATGTGAATTATTCCGGAAAGTATAAAATTACGTGTTTAGAAGTGTGTGAATAATAAATAACTTGTTTCTTCACTCACAAATTTGTAAATTATTATTGTTTCAAAAACATTGTTAGCATTATTAGTGCCAAGTTCTCTAGTAATGATTAATTAAAATTACATCAACTGCCTTGGTGGTGCAGTGATAGCGTATGCGACTGCTGTGCTAAGCCTCGGGATCGATTCCCAGTTTGAACCAAATGTTTGTATAATATGCAATTTTTTTATATTTGTTTTGGACTTTGGGCCTTGTCTATGTATAATATGTATGTATTCACAAAAAAAAATTGTTAAAGTATTCTATCAGTCCATCTAGCTTCCATAGTATAAGCTATGCTTAGTTTGAAACTAAACGGCGTTGTGTCAGATGTCCGAATTTTTTTTTTTTTAAACTCAGGAACTTCAGACTGACCAGGTATTTAGTTTGTTATGTGTAGTTACATATTATATTTATTTATATACTTAAATATTTCTATTTGTTACAGATTTATTTTACTTACTCTACCTATATTACAATATCTATATACATTTGCAAAGACAATTACATTATTACTTTTTTTTCAAACCTCTTAACCTTAGTTCCAATTCAAGGTATGCCTGCATAGATGGATCATCCACCATTTTGATTACTTTTTCTGCTATTTCTGCATCACTTTCCATCTTAGCTGACAGAGCCTCAGCCCAAGCTATGTAGACGCAGTTTGCACATCCAGACTGACAACAGGTTGTAGGTGGACTGTCAATGGATGCCTGAAATATTTTTATTAAAAAGGTTTTATTATCTATGGTTTATTGTTTAAGAGTTGGAGCACAGAAGGATCATATTTAAGGTAAAAAAAAAAATGACATTCAAAAATGATGTTTTACAAAGGAATGATAGCTTTAGAGACTTAGAACCAATATTCCAAACAAGGCAGAGCATGTACTACTAGGTAACTGTAACCATACCCATCTATTTTATTTAAAAAATATTTTCTCAAAACATACATAAATGCTATAATTTGAAATTAAGAAATATAATATACGTATGTGTAATAAATATGTTTACTAAATTCTATATTCAGTAATCGTAATTCACTGTCATAGGTTTGGCAACTAGCAATTAATAAATGTTATTTACATTTACAAAGAATTGTTTATATATAAGTATGATGCAATAAGTAGTGATAAAATAAGCAAGACTTTAGTTCTCAAAGGCAGTCGTTTTAAAACCATTTAAGAATAGCTTAAAACAGTAGATGAAATGGTTACTAATTTTACACTGAAAATAATGAGTAGAAGTAAATAATACTAACATTGTTTGCAATTCTCTCCAGTTCCCGCTCTTTTTCATCATCAGCAGGTTTTGAAGAATTGGTTATACACGTTCTTGTTATGCAATTCTGATATTTAAATATATCTGGAGGTCGTAATATAAATTTCTGAAAAATATTTCAATTTTAACACGTTGTCCAAAAATAGAAAAAATATCATACGGAATTAACTCACCAACATAATTAGAACCTAATTTTACTTCATTTGATAGAACACGTATTCTTATAAATTATTCCGAATATTTATTTACGTTACAACATATTTTCATATAAACATCTCATTCTTTGTCAGACATTGTCAGATGTCAGCTGTATTTGAAATCGTTTCAAAACAGCTGTAGTATTGCTATTTTGTAGTTTTTTCTACTACAAAAAAAATATTTTTTATTTGAAAGGATGGAACTTTTTAGAAATTTACTTGTATCATTCTAAGTAGTTTTTTTCAAGCCAAGATCTTTATATGGACAAATTTTACATTTGATTGTTAATAGTTTTTACTTCAAATAACAGCCACAAACACCTAAAATATACCTGCCAAAATTCTACCTTTTAGTTAAGTGACTACAAGTAGGTACCAATAACATTTAAATGGGCTACTAGGTTCCTATCCCTCTTTTAAATACATACTGAGCTCTGCTGAAACCTAATAGGGTACCCAAAACAAAAGTTTGTTCGGAAAGCAGGTTGTAGTAAATTTATCCCAAAAAGATCACACATACTAGGTAAACTTATCGAACAACCCTGTCCTGCAAGTAAAAAGTTAGGTTTAGTTGGAAAAAAGTAATAAATGATTACAGAATTACCAGACTAGATCATGTGAAGTTATTACACTATAATCTGGTCTTGATAGATCAGATGAAAAGATGATAGATGAGAATTACACATTTAAAGACATGTTATTTACTTTATTTATTTAATGTAGTTCACAAGTTTGCCATGGTCTGTTGCCGATTCAAAATCAATACAAAATTGCAAGCTGCAGTTGCTACACACCCGTGCACTCCCACTCTCATATGCTCTCATACACACACTCGACATAAAACACACACACGCACACCTACACTCACGCAAGCTTGCGCCCCCAAACACACACACACACACTCATGTACACGTTCACGCGTACACACATTGATAGACAGGTAATAATAAAATTATGTAATATCTAAAATATATACATAAAATATATAAATATCTAAAATTGAAATGTATTATTAGAATTGTCATTCATAGAAGAACTGTTTCTCCTGGCACAAATATGTATACCATACTTAAAAGGCCCTAAAAAAACACACACATTATGAGTTACTGAAATAAAGTTATCATGTATTTGAGGCTGTATCTAAAATATCTTTATCTAAATAATAATAACCTCAAACATCTCACACACGGGAGAAATAACTAAACACATTTTTATTTTCATAAATATATATGTATATATATACATTATTTATTTATTTTTATTTATTTATTTTATTTAAGTAACATTTTTTTCAATCGTTATTTGTTTTACTTGTGATTTCGTGTTTGAAGAAAATTAATCTCGACATTTCCACCGGAAGTAGTACATGGCAACATTAGAGATACTTCTAGTACTCCTTGATATTGCTATCGCGCTTTACATTTTCGAGGATACCAAAAGTTACTTGTGAGTAAGTGAGATAGATTTACTGTAAATGCAAGAGATACGAACAATACTTTATTAATTCGACAAATAAATTCATTTTGAGAGTTCGATGACCGCCCGGAAGCGTTTGTCCGTCATTTTTGATCTATAGATTTTACAAATCGCAAAATTTCCTAAGTTGTTTATCTTTTTTGGGTGGCGATTAGTGCATCAAACTATTGTGAAAAAAAAAGTTATCGATTTTGTTTTGTTAACCCGGCGTTTTATATTAAAATGTAAGTTGTACTTTGGTTATTTCTAACGTTGAGATAAGACTACATTGTAGCTATATTGGATTGCTATGACGAAGCCGCATAATCAGTTCCTATAGATGTTAGGACCTGCCTGCCATATATTATAGCGTCCCTCCTTTTTTGTTCAGCTCCTGTTTAATTCACTGATTGCTTCTAAATCTTTACTCGTCTTACTTGTTTGGGCGGTTCCAGAAATGAGCCGACGTATCTCGCTTTATCTCCCAAATCGATGCATTTTCGAAAATGCCTTATCTATATGGGTATTAGGACAATCCGTTCCTTGATGACTCTGTGTAGAATATGAATTTATTTTAATTTAGTTATATAGTCTTGTAAGGTTGACCAATTTTGAAGTATAGGTTATGATATGATTCATGGCTTTCATTGGAAGTAACGTGATTTTCGATAAGTCGGATCTGTATTCTGTTTAAATTATCAAAAATCCTGCTATCCTAAAAAGTCTTACGTGTGATATTATCAGTGCCTTATTTAAACTGTTTTGATAGAAAAAGCATATTTAATCAGGTAGAAATTTCCTCCTGGCGGTAATTTACTTCTCTTCAAAGCTGTCAGAAAATTAACAAAAATATATCTTATCTAGAGATGCTATAGATATGGAATTCCAGATCTCAATATGAAAACAGATATAGATAGATACAGGCAGATACACCAGCCACTACCCCATACCTCTTCCCCTACATATTTTCTGTCCATACCACGGTTGCCTGTAAGAGATTGCCTCTGAGCGATAAGGCCACCACTTAAACTAACATAGTTTAAGATTATTATTGTACATTTACATCTGGTGTACAATAAAGCGATATGTTATTATTATCCGATAGTTTTGAATAGTTTCAGTAACATACACCAAAAAGTAGGGAAATAGTAAGACTACTTGAAACTTATCATTTGACAGTATATTATAAGATGATTTTATTATTATGATGTTACATTAGATATACTGTTGTGAAACTAATGCAGCATTGCTCCTAGAAGCCTGTGAGTTGGTTGGCTTACCTATCCAACCTTTTCTCTACGCACAAAAACCAATCTTGAGTCTAAATGCTGAAATATGAGCCTGGGTTTGTGTGGTATAATTTCATTGCTAATAAATAAATAAATAAAATAAAACAAAATTTAAACTTTACTTAGCGTAACATAAGTTAAGGTACAATACATTCTGGATCACTTTCAACCATTGTCCTGTATGGTCCAGAAAATCTAGGCATATTTGAGAGGAAAATTTATTTATCAGTAACATGTCAACACTACAATCTAAAGGCAGTAGATAAAAGATAAGATAGTCTATTTACTGCAAACATGTCAATATCATTTTCTCTAAGCGAGATCTTATAAGTTATAAGGCATATAGCTTTAGTACCCTACTGGGGAAGTATATACCATCATCAACAGCTTTTAACAGTAGTTAGAAAGGAGGTTTTGGCCTAGTATACCACACTTTCCAAACTGGTTGGTAGCGTTTGTGTCAGGCTTTCCTTTTCTTTGCAGAGCTTAATTGGCTCTTACAACATCCATCATCACATCATCAACAGCCTATACTAGTCCACTGCTGGACATAGGCCTCTCCTTAGAAAGGAGGTTTTGGCCTACTATACCACGCTGGCCAGACGGGTTGGTATAGGGTTTGTTTCAAGTTTTCCTTCTCTTTGCAGTGCTCTTGTCCTGCTTAGTTTGCTCCCTTAGTCGGCTCTTACGACACTCACGGGATAAATAGGGGTGGTATATATCATACAAAAGACAAAATCTTATTTTTTTTATTTATTTAACACTTCCTGAACTTATAATACTTGAGGTAGACTTAATTTAATTATCTATGACCTTTGCACGATTCAGTAAATAACAGGTGTAACTATAATTAATATAAATGCTGTAATATTTGGCAATGAGTGAGTGTGTCTAGGCACCAGAAACAACAAAAACCGTTACAAGCTCATGTTCCAAAAGACTAATCTAAATAACCTTGTAAAAGTATATCAAAATAAGATATGTTGCAAGCAAGCCAGGTCTGTCTATGGACAGGTGACCGTTCTAAACACATTGAGACCCCTCAGTGCCTCCGAAAGCATGTTATGCCATCAGTCCCATTGTCCACACGAATTGTGACATTATTTACGAGTGGTTGGTGCCCTAAAAATTCTGACTTCAGTCTACTCACAGAACTTCGTTATCGCCTTGTGCTTAGGTTATAGAGGTCTGATGTTGATCCTTGTAAAAAAGTTTAGCCATGTCAGTGGCTTTGTGAATGATGACTCATAAATTTAAATTATTTGTTATTGTAACTGTTATATCATTCCTGTTTACTATTAATTTTTTGCACCAACTTCACACCATTGAACTCTACTTAAGTGAAATACACATATTCTAATCAGCTCAAGTTGATTAGAACAAATGATTATATAGCAACATACACAGTAGTATCACTTTCCATTGTTTCTTATCTGGCAATATCTGTTATATTTATTTAGTCACATACTATCTGTTCTATATAACAAGCTTTCACTCCTAAATTGATAAACCATTTTTTTTAATATTGGGTTGAAATACTTATCTATCTCTAGATAAGTATTTTAGAGAAATATATGGAATACTTTTTACTGAAAGCAAAAGTTAAAGGTAAAGGAATTGGGATACTAGAAAAATGATAAATTTATATTTATTTCTGCAAGTAAATCTTTTTATGATATTTTTACAAGTGGGATTGTGCAGCTAGAAGGCAACAACATTTCCTTAGTCTCACTCTTTCTTTTTTTACGTCTGTGTACAAAGTTAAAGAAAACTATGTGAGTGCAGTAGTAGCAGTACTAGGTTGGCCTTTTGAAGAAAGGACCATAGTTATGAGTTGGCCTGTTCATACAGACGGCATATGGGCCCCAGACATGGTGTAGCCTAACCGATATAGTCAGGATCAACAACCTGGAACACGACACTACTGCACCAGCAGGATACTTGAGTAGGCCGTGGAAACACTGAAAACCACTAGAAAGTTACTAAAATATGAATTAACATTACTAGCCTACACTATACTCACATTTACATACTTATAGTTAGTAGTATAATTAAAAGTTTGTAGTTATAATTTAAAGTTGCAGGCATGAGTTATGTAGTTTGTAAACTATAATACTAAAGAGATGTGAATTCGTGTATTTTGTGTATTTATCTCTGACCATGATCTATCTTAATGTTGGCCATTTCGAAGTTCATTATTATAGTATTCTGGACCAAAGCTTACCAAACTTATTTATCTTTCAGACCACTTGAAATATTTTTTTGAAGTTAGGCCGACCCCCTTTCTTAGCTACTATTGAGTTTTTTGACTAATTTCTAACCTGTAAGATAAGTTGAATTGAAATTTCGGTCGCAGAACGACCTCCGTCAGAGTGGGATCGCTTTGCTCATCGTGCACTTAAGGCAAAATAAAATGTACACCCATTTATTATTTCTTTGTTAGAATAGAATAAAAATATATCAAAACCATAAGACGTTCGTATTAAAGTTACTACGTAACTTCTTACTGATTCTATGGTAAGAGAAAATGGTTTTTATTAAAATTTTAATTAAAAAACGTAAGTATTAATTTTGTTCAAAAAATATTTTCCTTAAAAAATTATTAGGGAGATATAGGAATGACAGCTTTCATCAAAACACTTTCTTATTTAAAGCTGCGAGAAAACGAATCGGTAACAGCGACAATATTGGTGAATCAATCACTGGCTGACGTTATAATTTAATTTGCCCCCCGACCTTCTTCATACCTCAAAAGGGACCCGAAAATCGACTTCTGCGCAGGTGAAGGTCAGCGCTTAAGATCGTTGCCGGTACCTATAGAACTCTTATAGGTCGTTGTCAACCCCAAGGGGTCAGGTCAATATAAACCGCTTTTGAGTGCCAGCGTTCTCGACTGCAGATTCAATAAACAGATTTAAAAAGTAGGCAGCTATACACGTATTAGATGAATGGTACGTCTGTTCGATAATACGTGACGTCAATGCTGACGACAGCACCTATCTTATACTCCACCTGACTGTTGTCAACTCTGTTAATGTTCTTTGATTAATTTGTTTTGATTTATTGTACGGCTAATTTTGTACAGATTTATTATCCAATAGCAGTCTTTTTTCCGATTGGTCTCTTGGAAACTATTGAGCCGTTTTTTCGAGAGTACCTACTAAACGTAATCTTAAACTAATTTTAGTTTGAGGAAAAAATTAGGACTGTAAATAAATGTAAACTGTGAACGGAGCCGCGAACGGCAGAGCTAATATACCTACTACATCCATTAACTAAAAACACCCAGACCTGTCGCACTAGCAATTAGAACTTATTGTATATAAAAGTATATAACTGTATTTTGTGACTACACGCACGCACCCATGGACACGTGCATTTTCGCCCTTTGAGTGCTCGCATCGAGAAAAGGGGTGAGGATTTCGCCCCCAGTTACTTCACTCAATCGGTTAAAAATAATCTCTCATGTGGAGACGGTTCATGTGCTGAAGCATGGCTCTCCCACGGTTTGTCTAACCGTTTGTTGTTGTTTTTGTAGCACAATGTCTGGTGAGCCCGAGGTAACCCGTACACCTGAGGAAGAAGGAGACGAAGAGGAAATCAAGTCTTCATACAGACCACCACCAGAGAAGACCATCGATGAGATTCTTGCTGCCGATCAAGAAGATGAGTCGCTACGGAAGTACAAAGAAGCCCTTCTCGGAGAAGCTCAAGCTGGGGCTGTTATTGTTGGTAAGAGATCATATTTTAGTGTTATTAAGATTCTAATCCCTATTATTTTTTGGTAAAAAACATTTATTAAATACTAGTCGTTTCATACTATTTCCCCTGCTTTTATAGTCACTGCTGTGCTACAATAGTTATCCTAGAATGTAAAGAAATGGAAATAAAATGTGCGTTCATATAAAAAATGGAAGCTTAAAATCTCCTTAATACGTGTCGCGTTAGTTACTATTGAGACATATCTAATTCCAAGTTTACCAACATTTTGGAAGAAAACTTTCTTGGCCATTATTTAAAAAATGTGTCGTATGTTCGGACTACGAGATCGATAATATGACTCATGTGTATTGTGCCGACAAACAAAGCCTAAGCAAGGGGTTGGTAACAGAGGTCATCTAGTCGAAGTAGAATTAGGAAATAAAGGTTTTATATCTTCACCTGTAAAGACGAAATTGGAAAGAAAAAGTAGAATTGTGATCATAGGTTGACCAGTCTTGAGTTGGCGTCGAATTAGAAGTCCCAATGACTTGTTGCTCTAGAATGAACAATAAGAATTTATCTACCGCTTTTTGGTGTTAACTGCAGTCCGTCAGTAAACAAAAAACTTATGTTATTCATGTAGATATATGTGATTAATTAGTTCCCTGTGGAGGAACGGGTGCTATGTCTCTATAACATAAAGGGGAAAATTCTCTGATCATGCACAACAGGACTACGCCCAACGGTTGATGTAAATTAATCGGCGCGAAAACTGATTGCGCGACGCAGGATTAGCAGTTTGTACTCTGTAGTTCGATGTGAAGTTTATTTTTCGTTGTATTTCGGCACTAAACACGTTGTCATTTAAAAAAAAAAACAATTAGAAATTATTGATTACTGGTGTTTTTTATAGAAATGATTCAAGCTTTTAATTATTTCCTTCTTAAATGAATTAATCACTGTTTATCTTGTCTACTTTACCTGTTTTGCCCTCTTCCTCATTCATCTTACGGTCAGTTAACAATCTGCTACGGTTCAGTTGGATTTTTACGACACACTATGTGACCTTCAGAGCTTCAGCTGACCTATTTGGAAGACTTAACAATTGTCTTTATTTATTTGATATCCAATTCTTTGATATGTTCACCAGTAGTTTCTGAATTCAAATGGATTTTTATGTGTATGGGTTAGTAGTGGTACTGATTCATTGACAAGGAAAATTATACATTATTTTATTATGCTAATTAAAAGTAAAGTGAATAAGATAAACAAATTGTAGCTTACATATGTAACGTACTCGATGTTGTTTTTTTCACACGTTTGCTTTTATTTTATATAATTTTTGATTTTAGTATGTTTAGGGACAATTTTATTTATTGGTTGTGGAGGAACGGGTGTCATTTCCTCCAACTCCGACTAGGTGAGGTGATCATGCCTGGCGGGCCGCGGCCCGACGGTTGACGTTGGGCAGTTGTATATATCCTAATCAGCGAGAGAATTCTTCATATCGCGATACAGAATTAGCAATTCTCATTCAGGAGTTACTCCGTAGTTCAGTGTGTCTTCGTTAGACGGCTTTGTAGTATATTTTTGTTCTTTTGTATGTGGGAGTCACCACATGGTTTTTTTTGGTCTTTAACGTTTTAAAGCCATTAGAAGTCAAAAAAGTTTTTTTCCCGCTGTAAATGCCAGTCAGACGGAGTCACAATATAGAAGGATTTTTCCTTGGTGGCCTCCAAATACATACTAGGAGGCCATCTGCATCTATAATTTGCCAGGGATTTCTTTTCTAGGATACCTGTTTTCCTAGCTACTGGTAGTAGAGACGGCGTTGCGGTTTTTAAGTCTGACTTAACCATGCCACCAGTCCGGTGGGGGGTATCCGAGGGGATTTTTGCACGATAAAAAAACAGATGGAGTCACAATTAGTACACAAAAGTAGTTCTCTCGAATTATCCAATTATATACTATGTTTAACTGACTTTATTAAAGGAAAAAGTTGTCAATTCGTTGTCTACGTCCTTTGTAAACCAATTTAGTAAATTTCCTTTTTAATTTTGTGTATTGTTCCCATTAAAATTTTAAGAAAAGTATCGCTCCATAAGGTTAAAAAATTAAGTAATAAAGAATTCAGTTTTTACAGCGTGATGTACGCACATTGAATTAGGTTATTTTTTCTAAGTTATTAAATAAATGTTAAGTAGTTAAACTCAAGTGCTAATTATTTAAAACGTGTCGTTATGTCTAGTTCTGACCTTACAATTAACTTCAAAGGGTCTTTCAACTATATACTTGATGACGTCTTATAATTAAATGGCCCATAATGGCCAGATATCCTAACACGTTTATATAGGGGAAAATGCGTTGCCCGAGTTCTATATTGGCCATTTAAAAGTAAGGTAATTGCTCACCCAATTTCTATCTTTATTAGTTCCAGTTGCCAAATTTGGGAACCGAATTACAGGTTACCCCTTTATTAGAACTGAAATAATGACTGACTTTTCGTTCCTGACGTTTAAATGTAACAAGTTAATTATAGAAAAAGAAAAACCCGGCTGCGTGAAAATTTAAAAATAGTTTAAATCTACCAAAGCGGCGATTTGTTTTTTTTTTAATTTTACCTAACGTCACCTCGCTGCTTCCTATTGCGCTGAGTGTTGTGAGTTCGATCCCCACATGGGACAACACTTAGTGTGATCCACAAATTGTTGTTCTGAGTCTGGGTGTTGTTTGTGTCCGTTTCATGTGTGTTTGTAAGTCCCCTGGATTATATACCTAGTGCAGTTGCCTTTTATATTAAAAAGAATCATAAAACTTGTCTCATCAATTCAAAAATGTTTAATTTGAATACCTGGCAATTTTAAATTACCAAAAAGGTTAACCTATATCCACATAATTATAATTCCTATAATACAGATTGGAGCCAACATACCCTAAGAGGACGGCTTAAATAGATGTGGAGGATCTCTGTCTTATATAAGAAACATAATAAATATTGAGACGTTCCTTTGTTTAGAAGTTTAAAATAATATATAAGTAAATGCGAGTAATTTATCCCGAAAGTTTTGATGCATACATTCGAAAAACATAACCCTCCTTCAGCCAAAGTCGGGTAAAAATTTGATATGCATCACAGCACTGACTCAACATGACCTTCATTCAAATTGCACGTAGACATGTCATCAATGTTTTATACCTCCGCGTTTGACCTTGGCTCGCGTCAGACAATACCGCTTGATATGCAATGCACCTAATGGACGAGTAATCGATGCCTTATGAGTTCCGGAAGTCCCAAGTATATTAGGTTGTGGAATGTTTGAATGAGCGTACTCCGACGCACTTGTAACATTGTGGTAGGTGTCCTCTGCCACCTAAACGAAGAAATAAATCTGAATGACGTTCAACCTTCATGAAGTAGTTCATTATCAGAGTTCAGTTCATTAGCTCTTTTGATCTCCAGCCAATATGCAGACTGTAGTGTGAAATTCTCATCCCTCGCCAAGATATGTCTGAGGTTCCAAGCGTTGTGTGAAAGTTACGACTCAACAGCTGATGAAGTGATCTGTTGCTAAACAATTTAACGTTCCAATTTACAATGGGACTGGAACGGAACCGGAGTTCACCGGTTGGAAAGCAAATCTTTGTCAGATACTTGCCGCCACGACCGGAGTGGTGTCTTGACCTCACAGTAGCCGATGTTGAGCAATTTCGTTTCACCTCACCAACTGAAAAATATTACCGGAGGCTCAAACCTTCGTTATTTTGAAAGCAATCTTGAACACTCAGATGTTCTACTTGTAACGTAATTGGTATCGTTCTCTTAACCATTCTTATATATCCATCTCATATCATTTATAGTACCTGGATGACCCAGCTTTGTTCAGTATTTTCTTTTTTGTAAATGTTCTAAAAATAAAAACTAGCTAGATCGATTAATCGCCCCCAAAACTCCCTGTATACTTCATTTCATGAAAATCGTTGGAGCCGTTTCCGAGATTCAGATTATATATATACGAGTACAAGAATTGCTCGTTTAAAGGTATTAGATATCTTAGTCCATTAAAACAGAGCTTAAAATCGTAGGCAAATAATTTAGTCTAGCGGACAGCGTTGCAACCGCGCGTCTTGACGATTACGACACTTACATTTGTTTTATGCTAATAAATATCGTAATCCGAAATGAATTCAAAATAAATATAGCGATTCCATTGCGTTTCATTCACTGAAAAGTATATATATATTGAAAAAGAAATTCGCTTGAAATCCTTTCTACATGATTCATGAATCATTATTCCTTTCTTTTTTTAAATTAAAATTAACTTTTCCTAATGGTTTCTCTTACATTACTGTAGTTTGTCAATCAATTCAGTTATAAAGAGCGTATCCGGCTTTTGACTCAGGGAGTTAATTTTTGTGTGGTCAGGACTTACGATAATCTCTACTTACCGTACCTACCGTACATGGTGTAAACCCAACCCAGGAGAGCTCATGAGCCCCATTACCCCAGCTTAAGATTCGTGCTCGCCAGGTATCACTTAGGCATTTTTTTTTGGCGAAAGGTTTCCCATGTTTTTACTGTACCACTGAGGTAGCTCAGTTGAGTGAGTACTTCGTTTTCGTTCTCATTTTATAAGGAATAGTTACAAATGTTATGAAAAAAACTCAAGTTTAACTTTTACTTTTCACTTCTTTTCACTTAGGACATCAGGATTTTACCATCTCTGTTGCTTTAGTGTCTCTTTTTTAATATGATTATTATTTTATACCCTAATGACGTTTGAGGTGAGATACTTCGATTTTGAGTTCAAACAATGTATGTGAATGCGACAATTTATAGTAAACTAGCTGATCCGGCAAACGTTGTATTGCAACAAAAAAAAAATTAGGAATGGGTCACCCTTACCATTCAAAATTGTGAATCTAAACCATTCCCAGATCCCCTTGAACACACACAAAAAATTTCATCAAAATCGGTCCAGTCGTTTGAGAGAAGTTCAGTGACATACACACTCACAGAAGAATTATATATATAAAGATAGACTACATAGGATCTTAACAACTTAGCACGCAATACCTATACTATAAAGGTATTAATAAATGTTTTGTTTTCCTTATTTTTATAATTGTTTAGATAAGTAGGGCTAGGGCACACACCACAATTTTTTTTTTTAAATTTAAAATATGGTCGTTTTATTAAACGAAATTTTTGCACTTTGATAAAACCGGCCATAGTACAGTACTAAATAAAAATATTCTATTTCGGTGAGCAATAAAGAATATCTATCATTCATACATCATCATTAATACATTGTAACAACGAAACATAAATAAAACATAAAACATAAAAATTGAATCGCGTCTTTTCCGAACAGATCCAAACGACGAACGCAAGGTGATTGTCAAGAAGTTGGCGCTGTGCGTCGCTGGACGTGATGACGTTGAGCTGGACCTCAGCGGGGACTTGACTGACCTTAAAAAACAGGTAGGAGAACTATGAGTATTTGTACGATTCAAATTATGTGACGAATTTGATGCATGCCGATGCATGCATAGCATAGTACGTGCATATGTAATTTATCTATAATATGTATCTATTTAAAATATATAAGTATGTTTATCAGCATTTTGGTTACCATACTCTCACACTCATACCACACTCTACCTACTTTGGGATCATAAAGCCATGTGCAAAGTTATTAGTATTACTTATATAAAAAAATGTTGTTCTGATATCTAAATGTAACTATAAAACATGTAAATATACATTATTACTAACTATTCTTATCTAAATTATTACTTAGAGTCAGGGAAATAATGACTATTATTTTCCTGAAGTAATTAAATTGATAACTTCCTCTTATTGTTTGTGGGTTAGTGTTATTATTAATGGGTGTATATTACAATAATAGTTAGGTCCCTTGCTATTAATTTATTAATATACAATAATCAAAATTAGAAATCGATTGGCGGTCGAATGTCGAGATTTGTATATTTCTCTTTTATTTAATTGACCAGTGTAATTTAAACTGTCATTAAATAGAATTTTATACCAAGACAGGTTTAAATATACACTGGATCCTTATAGTTCTATGTAACAGTTTATGTAGAAATTTTTACTTTATATCACATATTGTGTAAAGAATTTAACGGTCTGTTCGTCGGTTCTGTTCTCTCCATCGTCTCGTGTCAGACCATTAGGTTCACGTTGTAACGTCTGCAGTTACAACAGCAATATAGCTTGGATTATTTGAACTTAACGAGCAGGTAACAAATGTTGCTAGTTTCTGTACCCATAAACACTCCGATCTATGTTATCTAAATCTCTTCTTTTCTTCAAGGTCTTTTAGTCAATAGAAATAAATAAAATTGAAGTGTCTGTAATGTCAAAATATTAGGTTTTTTTCATGCTAACACGGTTCTTTTTGTCTGTGTGTTTGTTCCGGGTAATCTTCTTAATGGCTTTACCGATTTTGATAATATTTTACTACTAGGTAGCTGTCTATATAAGTGATTAAGGCTATTTTTACCTCTGAGAAAAACCCTTTAAATTTTGCCCGATCCGGGAATCGAACCTTCTAAAGGCAGCGCTTTTCAAATTCCACGCGAACGAAGTCGTTGGTACCAGCTAGTATAACATACAAACATAGACCGTCGCTATAGGGAATGGTTAATACTCTAGCGAAAAATATCTAAAAGTCCAACAGTAATTACTGATCTAGTACATCAAATAGTCCCTTTAACTAATTCATTCACATGACAGGTGCATCATTTGGTGCTCTATAACTCCGGTAGTCGCAATTATCGCGAAGCTGGCCCACTGCCAACCCATTTGTATACAGGGATGTTGTTGCTACCGACTGCTTCTAGGATTGTGTCTTGTAGATTATATTTGATTGAAGTGCGCTGATTAAGTTTTGATATGAAACTGTTCCTGGATTCTTAGCAGTTCTTTGATGAAAGGCTGCTGTTAGAAATATTATTTATTTTGGTTTCACGTGATCATTAAAAAAAAAACGTTTGTACTACAGTAGTAATGTAAAAAGAAACTAAAATATAAATAGACAATTTGTTACTCCAATTTTTATTGTGAAATAGTACTATTATTCAAATGACGACCGAATTTGTGTTTGTGTAACGGACTGCTATTCCAAACCTCGCGGGTTCGATTCCCGCTCAAGTCAAACATTTGTGTACATGAAAATTTTATGTTTGATTAGGTGTGGGTGTTTCTACGTATAATAAGTATGTATTTCAAAAAAAGTATATATGTATTTATATCAATTGTATTTATATCAATGTATTTATATATTGTTGTTATATCAATTGTATGGTAGCCATAGTACAAGCTCTGCTTAGTTTGGGACTAGATGGCGTTGTTGATTCGCTAATAAGTGCCTTTTGAGGCGATAACATCGTCCATGTCTGTTATAAGCATTTCTACGTAATCTATCATTATCTTCATTCTAGTTATAAATTGTATAGAGGCCCATTTATCGAGGCTTTGAGCCTTAATCGCATACTTTGAGCATTGAAACTCAACGTTTTATTTATGGTTTAACATAACAAGAACTCTTTAAAGCTAAACGTTATATTGTATGTTTATTGCAGTTGCACATAAAGTAAATGATTCATAAAAAACATTTATAAACATATAAATCGCAGACTTTGCTCACGATTGACGTAACATTTATTTAGAAATATAAAGAAATTATTGTAATACATGTAATTTATTATTAAACTTAAATTGTATGATGACATTTATAATAATAAATATTTTTATAATTTTACGATGTACGAATAAAGACAAAATAAGGTTTGTTAAACAAGTTAAAAAAAAAATGTAATTCAGTTTTAAGACCTGCCTGAGATGCGGTGTTCGATACCAAACCGAACACAGTGCCCTAAAACAATCACAGATCCAAATAGAAATATCTATTTTCTGCTACTACCGGCAGTAATATTTAGTATTTGAAAGCGACTGCAATGATTTATGTCAGCGATATGTTTAGTTCGTAACCTAAAAACTCGAATGACGGGATGTCGTGATGTCAAATTTGTTTGTTAGAAATTGTGATTTTGAATTGTGGCTATGAATATTGCCAGCTAATGGTCGCTTCTTACAACAAGAATGTTATCACGTTACACGGTGCCTAACCTGTGTTGTATCACTGCAATCTTCGGTGTGTTTAAGGTTTCTTTAAACACCAATTGCAAATAAAAGCTGCTGTGTCTTCCAACTACATAATGAAAACATGTGGCTGTGAAAGACAAACATCTTAGTCAAATATCCCCGTATTTCATGATTCCAGGTGTTCGTGATCAAAGAGGGCGTGCAGTACAAGATAAGGATAGACTTCATCGTGCAGCGCGAGATCGTGCACGGCCTAAAATACGTGCAGAAGACCTATCGGCTCGGAGTACCAGGTATATAAAAATTTAAACTTTAACAAATATATGAATACGCATGTACTTATAGTTCATTCGCGTTAAGAAAATAGAGACGCATCGACCAAGCTCCGCATCCTGACCAATCAGGTTCCAAGTTTTCGAACAAAATGATAATTTCTTGGCACCTGATTGGTCAGCGGGCGGGGCTTAATCGATGCGTCACTATTGTCTTAACGCGAATGGACTTGTTATGATTTAATAAACCAATTGACACGAATTTAAAAGTTATGCACAATATCATCTTTATCTTGTATCTGTACCTTATTGGGTATGGACTTAAATGGGGCACTAGAATACTTAAATACAAAAACACCCAGCTTGGTGTTCCTGTAGATCGTTAGGCTGCCCTGATGATGTGTTGACATAATATTAACAGCAGGGGTAGTGTAAGATTAGCCGATTTAATAAAATTTACTTTCTCTGTTCATATTGGTTACTACTTGGGGTTGCCAGCTGTTTCATTTTCGGCCATTGACCGTATGAGTTTTTGTCAGTAGTCATAATCTATGAAGGTAGCAATAAGCAACGATATTAAAGCAAGCAAACGCAATAAAAGAAAAATAAGTTTTACTTTCATAGAAATAATGTAGCTTAATTACTGTGAATGATATTTCAGTCGTAGACCTGCGCGAAAATAGGTAACAATATTACTATATTAATATAAAATTACCGTTGGCAACCCTTGTTGTAACTGTATATAATTTACTAGGCCACAGATAATAAATCTCTCTCCTATTTATTGAGTTTGTACAATGTGTTGTTACAAAGTCTTTATATATAGATATATATATATATATATGTGCATCTTATTGGGAATTTTCTTTCTCCTTGTAATGGTGGGGAGGTTCTTAACTCTACTCTGCAGTGTTTCTGGGCAGGTTTTAATAGTTTTGTTTCTTAGCAATATGGAATAAAAAAACAAGTGGAAATGTGTCTATGCTCAGTCTGTGCACGACCAGTGTCACTAAACGATATGGTCGGATCATATGCTCTAGGTATTATGGTACAATTTGAGGCCTTCTAATCTCGTTAATGTTAAGATTTCCTCATAACTGCGACATGAGCGTCGGCACTTCCTCTTGTTTTTATATTACAGTGCACAGTCTATATTTGTATAATAATAATTTTAAACACCTAAAACACGCCAGTCTGATCTCAAACTAGTCAGAGTTCTATGGTAAACAAATTGCTGATATATTTCTAAATACATACATATTATATACAAATTACACCCAGACACAGAACAAATGATCGTACTAATCACATATTGTATTGTTACGTGTGAGGGTTCTTTGATTTTGAATAATGTAGGCCTTCTGACGACTAAAGAGACTTTATCACTACACTTAAAAACGTTCACACAATACTCAAGAATAGTCCGAAATGTTCGCCGAGGTCGCTGGGTCACACTTCTATTCACTTCCATCGATGTTTACCGCACTGTAGCTTGAACTGAACTAACTTCAAAGAAGACGTGTCCGTATTTATAATACTCGTAAAAGATCATTCTAGCAAATGCCAGTCCCTACGAGAATCTCGAAAATACATACGCAAACAAAACAGTAACTGTATTACCTATAACTATATACCTGTTGCTCTAATGGTTAGTGACTCTGACTGCTAAGCCAGAGGTCCGATTCTCACCCAGGAAAAATAATTGTGTAACGAGCACGATCATTTGTTCTTTGTATGGGTGTAATTTATCTATAATATGTATGTATTTAGAAATATATAAGTATGTTTATCAGCAGTCTGGTTGCTCTGCCTAGTATGGGATCAGACGACCGTGTCTCAAGCTATTATTATTATTTGTAATAGATTTGAGACCTACAGATTAGACCTATATTTATATGTGAATGATAATATAATATGTTATATTTTTCCACGCGGTCCATTCCAGTGCCCGGTACGTATAAAAGAAACAGAACGCACAATATATGGTTTGCATTCATTTGTATATCGACGTTCGCACCTCAAATGTCTCAATGTATTGTATTTTGTATAGCTTTTGAACGCACCTCCATGTTAATTCATTCGCAAAGATCGATTTGATTTGCTGTTGGTGTTGTTTTTTTTTTTTATGAGTGGAGACCGCGTCTAGGCAAACTTAGTGTAGGATACAAACGGTGGAGTGACGATCTGTGCAAGATTGCTGGCAGGAGCTGGATGCGAGAAGCCGAAAATCGATCTAAGTGGCTTGCAATGGGAGAGGGCTATGTCTAGCAGTAGACTGCGATAGGTTGATGATGATGATGATAATGTTGTTTATTCGCTACACTGAAACCTTAATAATTTATAGGGCTGTATATGGATATAATAAAAACTATTTTTCAATACTGGAGCAGATAATCGTAACAAGCAAACAAACTCTAAATTGGTTAGGATATACTTGCTGATTTTGGTGCCTGTTTCTTTATCATATTTAATATTTCATGTCACTATATGTGCCTATACTTCTATATGTTATTATATTTATTCGGTGTTGGTTAACTAAGGAAGCGAGGTCTGAATATCATCCTAAGAAAAATAATTTATATATTTTAAAGGAATTACGAATCTTAGCCATGTAGTTTTCAAATATTCATTAAAAACATATACTCACGTCTTTTAGAGAGAAGAGTAATAAACGCCCACATTGTGCCAAATATAATTTTAGTTCCACTTATAAAGTTTAATATTGGATACTCGACGTTATTGGACACGCTTAAAGACAAAATAATTGGGAAGCTATGTAGTACAGTTAAAAAAAAAGGCTTAAGAAGGTAACCTTCGTCAATCTCCTGTTGGTGGTAATAGTTAATAGCTTTTGCCCGCGGCTCCGCCCGCGTTTATGTCGGTTATCGTGGTAAAAAGTAGTCTATAGCACTCAGGGATAATATACTTAAGAAATTTCAAAATCGGTTCAGTAGTACCGCAGATTACTCGGAACATACAAACTGACAAGCTTTATCTTTTTATAATATCAGCATAGAAAACAGTGTTAACCAGATCTTGCTTCTGCTTGCAAGCTTAGTATATCTTCAGAGTATATGGTAAAATTCTCTGAAAAGTATGTTTTTAATACTCGTGGTACACATTGTATGCTTTGGTTGTTTTGATTTCTTTAACTCTTTGTAACAAAGATCTATGTGTAAGGTGGTACTTGGTTTTTGTATTTCTTGTTTTTGTCTATATTTCATGTTTGTATTTTGTTTCTTAATTATACTTTGGCAACCCTGCAGATAAAAAAAATAAAAATCTTTACTGATGTAGTGATGTGCTATTGAATTTATGTTATTATACCTTTATATTAAATTTAACGCTTAATTTAAATTTAGCACACTTGGCATTGTGCATATTTTTAATGCAGGTTTTTTAGAGGTGAATGGGATGCATTCCACAAGTTTTATTTTACTTTACTCTTTTGTCACAAACGTCATAAATGAGAAGTTTTCCGTTTTGTTTTTTAATAAATCTATTTTTGATGTTTAATTATATCCGATCTTTGTTAGAAAGAGTTTTATGTTGCGTATTTTTTATTTGTATATTTAAATCATGCTTTTCGACATTTTAGTTGACAAAATGACCCATATGGTTGGCTCCTACCCTCCGAAGACCGAGATCCAGTCGTACACCACACCGCCAGAAGACGCGCCCTCAGGCTTGGTTGCCCGAGGTTCTTACTCTGTCAACAGCCTCTTCACCGACGACGACAAGAATGTTCACCTGCAATGGGAGTGGTGCTTCGACATCAAAAAAGACTGGAAGGATTAAGAGCATGGCTTTTAATTTTTTTTATAAAAAGACCGACTGGGTTGGCTTGTTTAGGCTTTCAGTGCCATAGACGGGCTTTAAATCAGGTCAGGCACTAATTTAATATCGAAACTACTCTACTACGTTAGTACCAGTAGTTTTGTAATTGTTTCACATGTGAACGATCTCCCTGATGTCTATATTGTAGTGTTGGGAAATGCTTTCGATAAAATAAATTGTGATCGATATAAAAAAATATGTCAAAAATATTTTCATAAAAATATAATATGACAATTTTAATGATTTACTTTTATCATTCCTGTTTCATATTTAAATATCAATTTTATCAGAATTAAATCCCATTAAAACATGTAACGCACGTCTGGCTTCACTTGGATTTAATAAAATATTTTAATATGCTGGAGAAAATTATGTGTATTTACTTTGGGAATACCGTGCCTGCAAATAGCAAGAAATTTAAGGTATTTAAGTACCTCATTATAATTGTCATATTAATAATATATATAGATTTTACACAGTTACATCACTTAAAAAGCCTTTGTAATCTACAAAACAAATTGGACTATAAAGAGACGCACAGGGATTAAAATTCTGTGGCCGCGGCCAGCCCAACCCAGTTGTACGTGTCGATAATGGTGGCTGACTGAGGATACCAATTGACAAATTAGCGTAAACGATTCGTCAAATAAAAGCTTGACTGCCTTAGAATGTTCTAGATATTCCACAATATTTTTATACCATCTAGTGGACCGTTATGTCCGTTCGCGTTAAAAAAATAGTGACGCATTGTTTAAGCCCTTGACCAATCAGGTTCCAAGAAATTTCAGATACAAGTTTCGTACGAAAGCTTGTAACTGTCTTAAGGCGAATGGTATCATAGTACAAATTGGCCATTGTGTTACTTATAACTATTGTAACCAATGAGTAGGCATATAATCGTGTCAACTCTAGCTTCATAATGCTAAAGATATTTCTATTATCTTAATACCTTAAAAGGTCTTAGCAGACTTAAACGACTCCGCTCCCACCCAACCAAAGTATGAGCATTTAAATATGGACTATCGTGCTCTGTAGACGCAGTTTACAGTACAAAAAAGCAGACAGTGTTGTTGTTACTGTAATGTGCGTCTACAGAGCACGATGTTAAGTCTATATTTAAATATTCTTACTTTGATTGGGTGGGAGCGGCTTCGTTCAAGTCGTCTACGACCGTTAATATTCTCACTTGTGTCGAGAATGTATCAGAATTTCTGAAATATGCGACACATGTAAACTTCTGTCAGTATGTACGTTAAATGCGTACCTACTGACAGAATTTGTAAGCTTATTGTAAGGTCTACAAAAACTGGTCGTTTTTATCCCTACAATAGTGTAAAATTCTCTGTGCAGTCAGCTGGCCATTTGACGAAGCCAAGTCATTAGTAATACCTATCTACCTATAAAAGAATGTGATTTTGTAACGGTGATTTTGTAATTATTTCCTATTGTATGTATTTTGCGCAACGATTCACATGAAGTGCTACAGTGATTTGAAGTACGAACTCCTTAGAAGTACTCTCGTGACTATGATAAAGAAAGTTAAAATATCACTACTTTGACTCTATGGTTCGCCATAGTAAGCCTTCTATTTACTATGGTGACTATAGGAGCCAACGTGTTTAAAATACAGAATATATGTACAATAAAATGTAGTTTTTTTTTAATAATGCAATATTTCTTTTCAATATTTTTTCATGTATTACAAACGGTGTAGCAATATTATTATTTAGATTATAATTAGCTTATCGAATAATTAAGGGGGTCCTTGTAATCTATTGTATAACGTAGGGAAATCCCATGGTATAAGCCTTTTAAGACGTCAGTTCACTATTTCCCTTAGGTCGGCACAATGCTCACATCAGCATTCCTGACAGCATTTTTGGGCCAAGCTAAACCGTAAATGGGGGTCATTTCAGTTTTTATACATTTAAAAATGGTTTTCTTCTACATTTCTTTATGATTTTATCAAATTTACAGTATTTTTGAAGTATTGTGAAATAAAATTATTCGCTATAGCTTTCTGCGTATCGTATATAAGAAGGCGTGTTGCAATAAATTTCAGTGTTACCAACATGGTACTAAAATGGCCGATAAAAATTTGTATTGTGTAATACTTTTTATTTTAAACTAAAAGTAAAATTGTCTTAATGTATTTTATTTGTAAAGATACAGAATAAATAGAATTACATTAATCCATTATATTTTTTTATTTGGCATCGCTGATTTATTAATCAGATTAGGGTTGCCAAAATACCTATTACTATAAACACAAAAATTTTATGTATTTAAAATATATTATTAGTAAGTCATTTTTAAACTATCAAACCTAAGTACCAAAATATAATATTATGAGAATTTAAAGGGTATAGGTGCACCAATTCATAGAAAAAAAAATCTATTTTTAATATTACACATATGTAGCTTCTAATAAAATAAGCAGTCCCAGTTAAATGTGGCAATAATATGTTAAAAGGAGTATTTATATGTATGTGCGGAAGCTGCTCCTTTATAGAGTAAATTAGACTTTAAGGCGTTTGGTTTAAAGTACATTCAATAATATAATTAAAGATATTTAAAATTATTCTTAACTTTGTTTCCTGCATATACTTAATCGAAGTTGATTCGGATAAACTTAATAAAAAAAATTCTATTATATTGATGTATCCGACAGTAATTATGAATTATGTCCCGAGCATCCTATGGAACGAGAAAACAAAAAAGCTATTAAATTGTTTGTTTTACGCGAATAAATTTTGATGAAGGTCTAAATTCGAAATATTCAATTCAAAGTGTAGAAGTGGATATTTGACGTATAACATCATTCCTGCAATCTGTGGGAGTTATTTCTTGAAAAGGGACGGAAGAGTGTAACAGGGTGCCAGGAAAGCGCGCGCTAACTAGTTTGACCAATAAGCGTGCACGTCATCTGTCAGATGGTGGGTGAGATGTCAGATGTTACACATCCTATGAAACTATTGTAAGGCGTTTTTTTTTTTGTTTTTCAGACAGCCAGTCTTTTCATAAGTGTAGGTATATATGCGGGCATCAATGACGCTTTGACTTCACTTTGTCGATACTGCTGATCTAGACCTGTTAGCGGTTTTAATGTGCAACAAAAAGCCCAGATAACCTTTAAAATAACGTTTTTTCTAATTCGTATAATATACCATACCGTTGTAAGTATAATTTTTAACACATGACTCCTAATTATTGTCGGATATTTTTTTAATGTGACGTAACTATCCGGTATGTACCTACTAAGATTTACTAATAATATTAAGTAGGCCTGTCGGCACATATGCGGCGTCGGTGTGTCTAGAGACGGTAGTACTTAGACCGGATTGCGTGGAACTGTAAACGTATTCTAAATTTAAAAAAATATATTGCTAATTGCGTAAAAGATAAAAGAAGGTGCTTCAGTGGCCGCACTGGTTCTCGTTCCGAATATTATAAGCCTTCCTTTTTCAAATTTTTTGAGTTATCCTTTTTTTAAATAAATGTACCTACATTAAGGATATACTTTATATCGGTCGAGAGTTTTTATTCCAGTTTGATTTAAAATTGGCAAATTGCATTCTGAATTTAAATTCCTGAATGTTTCAAATGATGACTATATTTTGGGGTGGTCTGTATCTAAAGTAGTTGATCTATTTTCTTATCACTTTTATTTTACGTACCTATGTAATTATTATTTCTTATATAGAGTTTTACGCAATGTAATAGTTTGGCCAATAATAAAGCTTATTTATTCAGTGTTTCTTTTATTTATAAAACGAGTGACAGGTAACCCTCGACACAATATTTTGTTATTTCAAAAAGTCGAGACTGACGATTTCGAGTCAATATATACCTTAAATATATAAAAAATGTAACCCCAAAGTGGCAAACAAGCGTATGATCCGCTTTTATGTAACTTAAATTAAGACAACAAGTTTGATTAGTTAACTTGGCAACAGCTGTCATCAGAGGCGGATTAAGAATAAAGAGCCCCCTAGGCAAGCCTCTCATCGGCTTACCCCCCCTCTCCCCCGTGCCTCTAGCGCTTATACTATTATTAATAGTTACTAGTTTACGTTACTGAATTTGTGATAGTGTTGACTCCAAATTTAAGTTCTCATATATATACTAAAACTTTTATTTTTTTACGTGTGGGAACCCCTATGGGTCAAAAACTGGGAAAATACTAAAACCAAACACTGCGCCTGCGCAATAAGAGGGATCCGATAACAGCTTTTATTAAGACGTCTGGGCCTTTCCTTTTTTTGTGACAGGTATTATCATCTTAGTCCTTAGATTTGTGCAGAGACCTTAAACCTCGCTGTGCGCCTTACCACACGCCGTCACGAGCGCCTGCCATTTTAAAGCGCAGGCACCAAATTAGGGGATAAACTTTCATTTAGAAGACGTCCGCCACACGAGGACGTCACCTCCGGTGGGCGAGTGGAGGGGGAAACCCGTTCACCTGAGACAACAATCAGGGCGGCAAAAGAAGTTAGAAGGCATGTCAGCCATGGAGCGTATAACGGCGGGTAGCGAGAAATCCTCTCCGATGACTGCAATAAGCGCCCGACGCTACGTTGACCAGTGTATGCTGAGCCGAGTTCAAACTGCACTGCAGTGGTGACAGGCGGAACTCAATTCACTTCTAGCGATCGACTGCTGGTACCTTACCAGAAGTGCCCAGGAAAGACCTGACTCAGTCGGAAGGAAAGGGTCCCGTGCTGCCACCTCCCACACTATAAGATGACCGTCAGGACCGCCTCCACGGCGCCAAAACCAGTACATGGAGTCTTTAGCCGGGACGACCAACTAGTCATCGTGACTCGGCAAGCTGCCTTTAGCTACTCATTTCCGCCTTTAAATCTCATGGGAGAGATTCGCCACCACCCTCTAAGGGTTGGCATCCTCAGAGGCGCGCCTCATTCTGGGCGATGTATACCTACGCATATAGGCATATTCAT